AAAAGTCGAAAATTAATAATGCGGTTATACGCGGAATGGTCCTTACAATCGTAATCAGCAGCTAAGAGTTTAAGGTTAAGTGCAGAACGATTGCAGTGTTGTGGTTTTGTACTATTACTCTATGTGCTACAACAATCTCCAGCTAATTGATGGTTATCATTCTTTAGAGCTCTGGAAAAATTATTCGATTTTGTCCTTAATATGATTGTTTTATGGAATTTAATTTGAACTGTAGTGGAAAAAGTTCATTTAATGTTTCACCTTTATTTTTTAGTTTCGATATTCAACAAGGCTGGATTATTTCCTTATGTTTTTTGGTGCTTTGCTTGCAGCAACACAGGGTACTCTCAATTCTTGTTCCTCCCTTATTTTCAGACATCTTACGGATGCACTCATAATAGGTAAGAAAGCAGTACTTCCTTTCTACTAAATCGCTGAGTTTATTAATAAAGGTCAATTTGAATGGGATATGGGCATATTCGATGATTATGAATTCACGCAGCTTGCCATGACAGCAGTGCGCGACTACGCCTTGTTTGGTGCTGGTCAATTCATCCTGGGATTTCTTTCGGTGGGATTAAGTGATTTTATCGATACTAAGGAATTCATACTTGGAACTGATTGCAGATGTGCTGTTGGCACACCGTGTGCGAACGACAGGTGTATCAAATACGAAATCGTTACTTTGCAGCTGTGCTCAGGCAGGATATGGCCTGGTTCGATAAAAATGAAAGTGGGGCACTCACTACGAGGATGAGCGAGTAGGAATGCAATTTTTGAAAGTTTTACATCTTGACGCAATTTATTTTCATATGGGTAGTCCTTTTAGATTAAGAAACAACTAGCTTGAAATCCTTTACTTCAAAAAAAATTCAATCATTTTTAACTAGTTAAAACTATTTTTGAACTCTTTTCTAAGGAGATCCATTTTGGAGAACGAAAATGATTAGATTTTCACTTATGAATAGATTCCATACCTTCTTCCGTCACGTAACAATACGGTATGAAGCAGTAGGTTAGGTGCTGAGTTAGATCATTATTCGTATTGAACAAAAGTAGTTATAACGGTAGGCGGATTTTTAAGCACAAATTAGCCCTTCTTAATGCCTAAGAACGGTTTGGATATAAATGTCAAGCAAGATCACTTTTTTTTGGCGACACCTTATAAATAGCACTCTTTAAAAGTCCAGGTTTGAGATTCCCTTTTTCTCCTGGTCGTCTTGACTTCTATGCCACTCAGTTAAATTAAAAATTCATAGAATTACTACCAGGTTCCCACATCCTCAAATAACTGCAAAATTTCTCCATCGCAACAAAAACTCTTAAGGTTTTCTAGGAGTATTTGAAAGTTGTCAGTTCAACCTTTACTGTCCAAAAACCGGTAACTGACTTTTCCAGGCAACCCGATAAATCTAGATTTCTGGATCATTTACTCAAATAGCATAAGACTGGTCTGTTCAATTTTAGCTTTTATTTTTGACGTTGAACATCTGAAGAGACCCTCTGCAAACTATAAATGAGAAGATCCTTTACATCATAGAGCATGTGTCTATTACGCGAATTAAACCCATGATATCGAAGGAGCAAGAAATGAGATGCTTGTGCACATCAAAATGGTTGTCTGTGAAGAGGATTGAAAATGACTCAATCTTATTCTAATTCATAGCTTTGTGATTAAGTACCGCAAGGAATTCGCAAAATAATTATACAGTGAGCATAAGAAAACTGGAGTTGCAAACGACCGACTTAGTGATATATTTTTTTACTTTGAACTAATCGTTATGTTTCATATTATTCCTACAGAATCTCGGAAAAAATTTGTTTAGTGGCATCGATCGAATTCGAGATGGAATAGGTGACAAACTTGGAGCGATGTTCGCTTATTTTGCAACTTTCATAGCTGGAATAAATGTTGCTGTGTGGAATAGGTAGGCAGAGTATCTGTTTTAAATATTGAAAAAGAGTTGATGGACTCTTATATGTCTCCAAATGAACTTTATAACACATGTTTGGAAATTAAACTGTGGGACCTCCAAGCTCATTCCATATTAAAAAAAAAACAGAGTGAGAGTTTGGGTGAAAGTGAAGCAAATGTCACCACAACTTCTCTCATTCATTACATATGTCTTACAGCTGGGAAATGACACTGGTGATGGTCGCCTTCTTTCCAATTTTCTTTGGACCTTTGACCGTTGCTTCTAAGGTGAGTCAAAATATAACGAACTGTCACGCAAGTTTCTCTATTAGTGTTCCTTAAAAATTCTCATTAATAATACTGCTCAGATTATGGGTAAAATTGCACCCAAAGAACAGAAAGCATACACAGATGCAGGTGCAACATCTGAAGAAGTTATACATGGAATTAGAACTGTCATGGCTTTCAATGGTCAAGAAAAGGAAATAAAACGGTCTAAGAAAAAACTTGCATTCTGCCTTCCATATAAATATCAAATGATAAATCGATAAATGATTCAGGTACGGTGACCACCTAAGCAAAGGAATGAAATATGGAGTGCGAAAGGCACTACTTACCTCATTTGGAACGGCGTTCATCATGGGGGCGCTATTCATCTCAATGGCTGTATCGTTCTGGTAAGTTATGGTGAGGGTGAAAGTGATTTCTCAACTACATTCTGTTATTCCTATTCAAAATTTTGAATATATAGGTCAAATACTAAAGAAAAACATTAACAAAACATTAATTCCAAGAAGCTTTGCAAATTGTAACTGAAAATTATGAGTTCAATTTACAAAATTAGTAAAATTATTAGAAAATATTATTTTTTCTAAAAATATATTAAATTAAACCACAGAATCACTGATGACCATACACAAATTGAGCGACGATTCCTCATGAGCTCCATTCGAGTAATATTTTGAAGGTATGGAACGAAGCTTGTGATATCTGGTAGAATAACACCCGGAACTGTCTTTGCTGTCTTCTGGGCTGTGATCGGGGGAGCTTTCGCTGCAGGCCAAGCTGCTCCACAGATTGGAACACTTATCGCCAGTATGACGGCTGCGGCACCCATTTTCGCTATTATTGATAGAGTATGTTGGGTTTTTTGAACCTTTACTCTTCAGTAATTAGATTTTTAATAAATTATAGGTTTAATATAATAATGTAATTTACAATAAGCTCAATGGATTAATGATTTCAGCTTCCACCAATAGATTCGTCATCTGCAGCAGGGAAAATCTTTGATACTGTCAAAGGCAATATATCAATAGAGAGCGTAAGATTCTCCTATCCATCACGACCAGAGGTAACATCCTTCCTCTTCTAAAGAGTTCCATTCAACTCCCATGTGCTTAGGTCGAGGTGTTAAAAGGAGTTACGATTAACATCGAAAGCGGTCAACATATCGCATTGGTCGGCCACAGTGGATGCGGGAAAAGCACGCTTGTTGGCTTATTACTCAGATTTTATGAGCAGCAGTCAGGACAGGTGATCAAATTGTATAGTTTGTTTCATTCTCTAGATAAGCAACAAACTACATACGCCATACTTTCACA